TCCTGCTGACAGCTGCTGAACGTGACCGGTCTCCTTTGTGGCCACCTGTTGACTGCCTGTTGAACTTCCCTGTGACCCCTTTTATAACGTTTTTTTATGGCTTAACAGGCTCAAGAAACGAAGCAAGTATAATTAGGAGGGAAGCATTTTTATTGGACGAAAAATAGAGCACTTTAAATATTATTTTATTTTTCGAACGGAACACGTGTGTCGGAAACATTTGTGAAGAAAGATAATGGTCATTTTGTGACGGGGCTTTGTCCCGTTCACATCCGGTTCTCGCTCTTGAGTATTTGCCTGTAAATCAGCTGAGATATGTCTTATTTTATTTTATAACACACTGAACCACATGAAATGTTGTGAATATAGCAACAAAGATGAGGACATCAGTCTGAACAATGTAAATATTGCAAATAGTTTTTTTTTTTTTTTTTTTTTAACAGATGTTTCTTTAAAACTTTTTTGACAACATTAATTTCAAGCTCCCAAAAAGTTAAATTTTTGAAAAATGATATGTTTTAGCTTTTGAGTTAGAAAGAAAGATGCAGATAAACAGAATTAGAAATTGCTCAATGTTACAGATAACATGGCAAAATCTGTGGTTTGGATGGTTTAAAATGAGAATTAATTATATACAAGATTAACTAAATTAATTTAAACCTCTGTTATTACTTATTTAAATCTGACTGATAAAGAAATTAATAAAGAAAAGGAATCTATTGAAATCTATGACTGTGAATTGTCATGCATTCTTAGGAAAGATAGTGAAGTAGCTTACTGTTGTCTTTTTTATAGTTTGGAATTCAGAGCTTCCTTTTTTTTTTTTTTTTTTTAAGATGAGTTGCCATCCAATGCTAGAGAATTCAGTCTACCCTGCTATTTTAACCCATGGCTTATGAGAGAAGATGAGAAAAGATGGATTCATGCCTTTTCCAACGACATTAGTGTGAAAGTAAATGCAACAGACAAAGCTGGAATTTGAACTTTACTTAACAATTCTACTTTATGTACTGCTAATTGTTATACTACCCACATATTCATCACTATACTGACAGTTGAGCCCATCATAGAAAAATGCCTTTTTTTCTTAAATGACCACCTTCATGACAACCCCGAGGATGAAGGAATAATTCATAATCTTCCTTTAACATTAGCACCTGCAACATAATCTCTGAAGTAAAAAAAAAAAAAAGGCCTACTTCCTCTCTCTCTCACACACACTGATTCTGGCTAGCAGAACACCCACCAAGCATTAAAAGCCAATCCTTTTCTACCTATTTTCTAATGTTTATATGCACATCAAAGAAACTCAACACCTGAGCTGACCTGTTAGAATTTGCAAAATCATGTTGGCTTAAAATATATGAGAGACCTTAAAAAATCTATAAAAATCGTGTGTTATTTGATCATATCTTCAGCTGAGAATGATAAAATTTGTAACTGAAATGACTTAACTGTCTTGCATAAAAGATGAGCTCATTAGTTCATTGTATTTCTGCAGTGTTTCTGGGAGCATTCAGGCTTTTTTGTAAAAGAAATTTATTTTAATTCAGCCTCCAGCTTGATTTGAAATAAATCTTACCTCTTGATCACATTGATAGTTTGAATTACATAACTTTTCTTATTGCCTTTGTGTAAAATAGTTCTAGCAAACTGTTTGGAACTGAAATTACACTAGCAGCTTTAAATGCCAACAGAAGGATGAATATTCACTCATTCACTACAGTTTATTGTAATAAGCTTTGCTTAAATGATATTACAAATTATGGGATGGAAATAATTTTATAACAGTGTTATAGTTTCAGTTTGACACATACTTAGGATCAGAATGAAACAGTTGAAATTTCTAGGATATGCAATGAGGAAAACAGGGTAGGAAAGTTTGACACTCACAGAACATACTGAAGGCAAAAGGGACAGAGGAAAACAGTGAATAACCTGCCTAATGAGCTTGTATAAGTGGATGGCAGAACAAGGAGTGGGAGGAATAATAAAAGAAACATTGCTAAGAGCTACAAAGGATAAGAAGTTGTGGAGAATTATGATCTCTCAAACCCTTAAGGGACATAACACAGAAGAAGAAGAGTGTTAAATTTTCCTGACCCTCTGTCTTCATTATAGATGACAAAATTACTGTCATTTGTTTTTGATTTCACAATTGATTTTTTTCAAAATAATTAAATAAAAACTATTTTTGTGGATCACTCCAAGACTAGAATTTAGATTAAAACAAAAATAAAATAAAATAAATAAATAATAAATATAAAACACAAACATTTTTTTTCTTAAATAAAAAATTTTTCTTAACAAGAGATACATTTTTGAAAGGCTTAAACTTAAAGAAATGAAACCATAAAAGTAATAAATGCTGACACTATTTACATTGTTGAGATTATTGTCCTCACCATGAAGTAATCCAGTGACTTAACCCAAATGAGTTCTTTGGCTCAAGTCACTGGGTTACTTCAACCAATGATTTTATCTACTGGGCTATGTGTCCTGGCCAATGCCAGAGGTGAACAAAAACTTAAAAAGTTGATTTACTAAAGGGAAATAACTGAAACTGAGATATTCAGAAAAGGCATGACATGTGGAACTAGAACAATCTACCCCAGTGGATGAAATAAAGGGTTTTGTTTTAAATTCCAACATATATCACCTGAAGAAGGCTGGAATGTACAACAGCTGAAATATCTTGAATATGACCATAAAGATGAGAACAAGTCTGAATAATGTAAATAATGTAAATAGTTACAATACCTCATCTCAGAAATATAGAGAGATAATAAATGCTTATTGACTGAATTTATTATTAAACAAGTTGCTAAAAATTTTTCACTTACCTTGAGTATAAGCACTAAAAATTACAATGCTGTTTTTTTAACAATCTTATATTTTCTCATTTGATGCTTAACAGCATTTAAACAAAAGTGATTCTTTTAACATTTTTATTGTTTGATTGAATTTGGTATCTCATTGCATTTATTGATTTTTAGTTCAAATGCCTGTCAATGTTTTTTTCTAATTAAAAGAATTCTCTTTCCTTTGTAACATACAAGCATAAAGAAAAAAAAAAAGAATGCTGTTTGAAATGTCCACTTTAGTAATTGGAGAAAATTTTGGGAGGGGGTAAAAACATGATATTTATTTAATGAAGTAATTTGCAAATTTTTAATTAATAACCAGTTAGATTTACAAGACTTTGAAATGGAAGTTGAATATAGAAAAAGCATGTTGCTTTCCAGAAAGTTGATGACCTGAACAATAAAACAATAAACACAAATCAAAACTGGGTTTAATTAAAACTGACAGTGCAAAATAGAATGTGCTATATCTCTTGTTTAAATATTTTTTTCTTTTTATGCACTAATATGAGTATACAATTATTTGATAACAATTCAAAGAATGAACATTTTTTTTATCTCATTTGCATTTAAAACGTAGAAATTCAAGGAAACCACAAAAATATGAATGTTCAGTTATTCTTAATAAAAGTTATTTTATCAAATAATGTTTCTTTTGAGGTTTTAGGATTCAAAATGAAGGAGATTTAATAATCCATACACTCAAAGCAAATTGGTAAAAAGGATCGGATTTATCTAATAATTCTAGCCTCATTCTTACAGGAATTATTTGAAATAATTTAACCTATTAATCTCCACAATAAAACCCAGTATTAACTATAAACATTAAAATAAAAACAAAATAATTATAAAAATGAACTGCAGAAACATCCATAAGATTTGCACCACAAAGAAGTAATTAAAACTGTACACAAAATATTATTTCAACAGAAACTACACACTTAAATAATCATTTTTTTTACTCTGGATATAAATTATATTTTCCTTTTACTAAAGAAAACATTCTATGGTGTGAATTTTACTTACAAATCGTTTTGGTTCTGTTAAGCAAATTTTCATCTTGCAAACCAAGTTTGCTTAAGCACATAGAAACATGGCTGACAGGAGAAGTAAAACTAGAGGGAGAAATGCACATATGCAAATTTTGTCATCCATGATTTTAACAGAATAAATCCAAACTTATGCAAATCAGATATAAATAGTGAGTTCTATAAGGATTGAAAGATATTTCTGCATAAAATTTTCTTCTGAATGTCTGAAATAGAAACAATTTTATAAAAATATATAGTGAGCTCTGCTCAAAAGCAATTGATAGGAGGTTTCATTGATTATAGATGCCCTTTAAATTTTGCTGAATTCTAAAGTTTCTCTTTTCCAATACATATTTATGATCATCATTACCTTTTAGAACAGAAAAAGTAAAATATTTGGAAATTATAATTATTTGATTAATCCCTGCACAGAATTTTTTTTGAGTAAACAAAATGATATTGTCTATAAATAATATCAGTCAGTTATGTGCCATACATGATACACGCTTAGGCGATCATGTATCTTTTGATACATGATTGATGAGGCATATTTTTTTTCTCACAGTAGGTTGCCATTTCTTTCTGTGATAGACCAGTTGACATCCAAGGCTATAGAACCCGCTCTGGAGGGAGAAAAAGAAGATTCATACCTTTCCCAAGGGTATTAGCACATGTGAATCTAATGGATTTGGCTGGAATTCAAACTCAACTCTCTGATTCCTCAATCTGAGCCGCTATCCATCACTCCACTGTGCCTCCCTAAATAATGTAAGATATAGTAAATATTCCTTCCTTCCTTGGGTGCCATGAATGATGCAAACTTGGGCGATCATGTTGCTTTACAATTCCTGATTTACTTGGTAGAAGAATTCCCACAGTAGGCTGTGATTATTTTCTGTGGTTGAGCAGTTGCCAACCAAGATTATAGGACCCACTCTGTTCCACTATTTAACACATAGCTGGGGGTAAAAGAGATGAATTCATACCTTTTCCCCGAGGGTATTTCCACATAAGTGAATGTAATGAACTAACTGGAATTTGAACTTAGCTCTCTGATTTCTCATTTCAAGCTGTTCTCAATCACACCACCCATACATCCAAACTTACTGCATGTGGTATTCCTAAAGTGGTCACCCATCTAGGTACTGACCAGACTCTACATTGCTTAACTTTGGTTATCATATGGGAATCGGTGTTTCAACTTGATATGGCTGTAATACATTAAATATGATAAAATAATAAAATAATTCTTTTACATATATTTCTGTATTAAAAACAATACATTTTTGAGAAAATCATGATTATTATTGAGATTTTATGAATCAGAAAAAATTATCAAAGACTTGCAAAAAGTGGCACTGAGGCTGATTCAATTGCAAACACCATTTTATAAAATAAACTGGAGTGTTGACCTTCACATGATTGTATTTTACTGTTGGGAATATTATTTTGCCATTACAAGGTAACACCAAATTTTATCATTGTTGGTCTTTCATATCTCAATTGTCCTATAAATAATAATGCAGAGGAAAATGAAAGCTGGTTCAATTGTTATTTGACCTTTGAACTGAGTTGACAGGTAACAGACACCTGCTGTATGTTTTGTTCATTATGAATCAACAGACTCTGTTTTTTATAGATTCAGAATAATGAGTGTGAAGACATTTTTCTTCATGACTTTAGCTCTTGAAATGGCCACTGAAAAATTTACCTTTTCAAAAATGAATCTATAAAACTGTTTTAAAGCTCACCTACTAAATCTATCAAGGCTAGAAAAAAAGCAAAATGTGTTAATTAATATGAACAAGTAATTTATATGCATTCAGAATATATCTAAAATCTTTTTTCCATATTTTGCGCATTGATTTTGTAATTGAGGTCATATTTTTTTCAGTGACAGTGAAATGCAATATATTTATTGATTAATTATAGATTGTTATGTATCATGATGAATGAGCCCATCAATTAATGGATAAAAGAAAATGGCACTAGAAAATTTTGGATTTACAGTTCTAGTGTATTTAGTAACTAAAAGGATTAGTAATAGTGAATTAGACCTCAAAATGATATCAAAGGAATCTAATAAGGATTTTAATTTCCCATCATGTACTTGGTAATCTTCTGTAATTAACTTATCTGATAATGATACAAAAATTATTTAAAACTGTTTTCTAATAAATTTTAACCTCAGCATTTTTTTCTTTACATATTTTTTATGAGTGACACTTCTTCAGTTCTTGACTTTTTGAATGGTATTTGCATTAATTAACTCTACTTTCTTTCAATTTTTATTGAAATGGTGTCAGTTGTTATTAATTTTATCCCTTATTTGGAGGTAAAAAATCCAAAGAGATTTGTTTGGACATGCAGGATACATTGTCAAGACAGTTCCTCTCCATTATAATCAGAGGGTTAGTAAACTGGACAGATATATGTGTAGTGAGTTTATGCCACAAAAGCAGCAGGAAACACAGACAATTGGCTGTAGTCAATATACATAGCAGAAGCAGCTCAGTGGTGTCTTTAAAACCCATATTTTAAAAAAGGTACTCTCACTTCTCATTTCCTTTGTCTTTGCATAGGGTCACAGCACCTAATGAGGAAGTGCTCCTTCCTAGCCAGTCAGTAAGTAGGACTTTCTTTTATTAAAAAATGTAGACATTTGGACTTGGACTACGTTGCTAATGAAAAGCATAGCTTTTCCACAGCCAAATTTCTATTACTTTTTATCCTATTTTAAGGAACAGCTATTTCATATAATTTCAACATGTCATGTATTTGCTTTTGTTCTATATCGTTTTGTTGAAAACATTTTTGATGGCAGAGACATTTACCACTTCATATGGCTAATATGGAGATACTGTAAAGATTTTCTTTTAAAAAAAAAATCATATCTGATAGCATGTGCAGATACAGATAAAACATCTATAACTGGAGTATAACAGATTTTACCAATATCTGAATGTATTGTCTGTTATAAGACATTTAGCATTTAAATAAAAATATGGATATTTACACTATTTACATTATTCAGACTGTTGATATGTGTTGGTCCAGTGACTAAAAGCATTGGTTGAAGTAATCCAGTAACAAGATCCAAAGAGTTGTGAGTTCAATAATTGGCCACAGCAGAGGTGAAAAAAAAAACTTAGAGAGTTGAATTGCTAAAGGGAAATAACTGAAACTGAGATATCCAGCAGAGGCATGGCATGTGGAAGTAGAACAATCTACTCCAGTGGACAAAATAAAAGACTTGGTTTGAAATTCCAACGTATATCACCTTAAGAAGACCAGAGTTTACAACGGGTGAAATGTTGAGAATGAGATAATAAAGATGAAGACAACAGTTTAAAGAATGTAAATAGTGTAAATAGTTACAATAACTCATTTCAGAAACATAGACAAAAAATATGGATGTCTTTAAGTTTGAAATATAAAAGGATCAGCTTGATAAATGAAAGATCCAATAACTTAAGAAGAGACATCTATGAGGTCTGCTATTTATTTTTATTGTTTCTAAAACAAGATTTATTGATTTATTTGTTAAAATTGCCAAAGAAAGTCACACAAAAACTATTGACTGTAAAACAAGAACTAGAGTGTAGGTGTTGCAATCTGATAGTTGTTCTTGAATTACTCACTTTTCTATGAGTAAGAATGAAAAGAAAAGAAAAGAAGAAAAAACATAGCTTCTTTCATAACATAAAGAATAAAATGAAAGTGATTTTAAAGAACATGCTTGTAGCTAATCAATATTTCATTAGCAACCGAATGTGTGGTTAATTGTTCAAGCCTAAATATCCTCAGGATATAATGGAAGGTGTAAAGGGCAGATTTATATTACTTTAGTTGGGCAAAAGTAAATCACAGCTAAAGAAAATTTCAATTTGTTAGAAACAGAGAAAAGAATGTTGGATTGGTATATGATATCCATTCTCTTATATGGCAGTGAATGTTGAACAATATCCCCATGGATGAGGAAAAAAGTAGAGGTAGCAGAAATGTGGTTCTACAGAAGGATACAGAAAATTCTATGGATAGAGCGAGTAAACAACAAGGAAATCTTAAAGAAAATGGCAACAGGAAAAAAATTACTCAGAATCAGGAGAAGACAGCTGATATTCACATAATCAGAAAAAGAGGCTTGAAAAACTTAACCCTCACAAGGCATATTGAGGGCAAGAAAGAGAAAGGCAGTAAGTCACTTGCCAGATGAATTTGTGTGAAAGGATAGTGGAACAGGCATGTGCCTTAGCAAAGGGAGAAAACCTGCTAAGAGCTACATGGGATAAAAAGTATAAATAAAAGTATAAATGGACATGATTGCCTATCTCCTGTAGGGACACAGCATATAGAAGAATAATCAATCAAGAAATGATCATAACTAACCAATAAACAAATAATTCAATTAATTTTCTGGAGCCAAATCAATAAGATATATGAGTGTAATTCCATATAAAAATTGTTAGTATTTCAATTGTTATCAGACAATTTACAACATTCAGTTCGCTCACAATGGCATCATCCCTCGGGGGTAAATTTTCTTCATGAGTGTAAATTCAGAATATATAACTCACCATATTTCACCTTGTGTTCTCTTTTATCTTCTTTATTGCTATCCATATTTTTTTCTATATTAAAATTTTGTATATTTTTAGTTCAATAGTAGCTACCAATAACAGTAGGAATAACTAACCTTTTATGAAATAAACATGTCATTGAAATATGTCATATAAATTTGAAATATTTTAACAGCTTACTGTAAAAAAATAAAAATTTATATGCCATATAAATTTTACTGTATAGATGTTTATTTCATAAAAAGTTAGTTTCTCCTACTGCTACTATGATTTTACACATACATACTTAAATGATAAAAACATACACACTGTTCATATATACTTGTAGCAAGAATAGTATTACCACTGCACTTTTATGAGCTTTTATCACACCTTCAATATGTACATTTACACTGTAACAAGACATTTTATGTTTTGAATCTTTGAATAAATTTCAAGTTATTTGTTAAACTGGTTCTTTGATAGTCATTATTAGTGTTTGATTATATTGCCTTCATCTCAATTTTACTTGTTTTTCATTGCAACTACTCAGATTGTCATTCTGCAGCTATGAGCAAATAATGCAGATAGGAAATGAAAAATCAGCTTTCATCAAGACTCAAACCTCTTTTGGCATTGTTGATTGATTGATTTGTTTTTTATGGCTTATCAACCTTTTGCAGGTTATTTAAAGTCAGAAAATATTTTTAGATTCTAAGTTGTTTTTGAGATAATAATAATTTACTGAAACAAGTCTTAATAATTAACCCATAGCTGTGGGGAGAAGAGGTGAATTCATATCTTCCCTAAGGGTATTTGCACATAAGTGAATATAATGAACCTAACTGAAATTGAAATTTTGCTTTCTGATTTACAATTCTGAACTGTTATCCATTACACCAGTCATACATCCAAACTTATGACACCTGGTAGTCTCAAGTGATCACCCATCTAGATACTGACCAGGCTAGATTTTGCTTAACTTCTGTGATTGTACAAGAACCTGTGTTTCAACATGATATGACTGTAAGCCTCCTCTTGCCATGAAAAGATTATCTTACTGATAATTGCTGTTACTAATTTAGTTATTTGTATGACAGAAAAGTTTACCATCATAATTTATAGTAAGTATTAAGTCATGACTTTCATCAAACAGTGAGTAGTTATTGGAGAAAGAAAGAAATATTTTGTAAAGCATTTAATCTTTTGTTTCATGATTGTCTTAAATGAAGCATTTTCAGTTCAGTTGTTTTATTAGTTTTTCTTTAATGTTATTATTGTTGCTTTTTATTGCAACACTCAAACTGTTTTTACATTCTATGATTGTTAAATAAGCAACATAAATTGGATATAAAGAAGCAGTTTTGGAGAAGATTTAACTTGCATCTCATATTCTTGAGAGTCTATGTGACATAGACCATGCTTTTGAATTTGACCATGAAGTAACACTTCTTAATCGCATGACCTTTTGAATGCTATTTATTTAGGGGAAATTAAAACTACTTATATAACTACATCCTTTGATTTTTCCATATCTTATTGTTTACTATCTTGCCATATCACTTTAGAGTTTAAATGTTCATGGCCCTCCACAGATTCCTTTTCTTTATTATCTGTTAATTGACATTACTTTTTTGGGAAGATAGTAGAGTGCTT